CTGATGGCAAAAAGAGGCGGAGCTGGGCTCAGGTTAAGAAATATTCCAGTTAGACTTATTTAGATCTAATCATCGTGTTAATGCCTCTGTATATTGCATGCTGGGCTGATGGCAGCATTCCACTCCCACACTCCTTACACACAAAATGAGTTTGTGACCATGCCGCACGCCACTCTCATTTGGGATAGCTTTTTTCAACACTGTATTTAAAGAACAATTATCTCTGATCCTCATGGCTTCAAAATCAAAAGGCTTAAAGTTTTAATGGTAATGCTCAGTGTTTCTGAAGTTCTATTGATGAAACACCGATCCAACTGGCCTGTAAGGCAAAAAGATGCCATCCTGCAGCTCACTCAGTGCATTTACAGGAAAATAGTGCAAATTACTTACTTTTCTTCACAGCCCTCCCTGTATTGGCTGGCCTCTCTCAAATAAGCAAAAATAAGTGCTGTGCCAAAAACAGCAGAAGGCAAGAATGCTTCTGTTAAAACCTGATTTAATTCTAATAGTGCTCCCAGACCAAACTTCCTCTCTGGAGGAGAGGTAAAACAGGGACATGCACAAACCCATGGTCCAGGATAAAGGATGCCGAAAAAACAATACACAGCTTTATTAAATCATTACATGGGTTGCCAAACAAGTAGGTAAGAACCTAAAGATAGTGAGACGAACATAGCAACACTTTTACGTCAACCTGTACAGGACCAAAGTTAGAGGAAGTGCAGAGGAACAAAAACAGCGCTTGTGAAATAGCAACCAAACCCACATAAACAAGGCCACATACAATATAAAAGGCCTGTTATGAAGCCACATGGTTATAAAACTAGTTGTTTCTATTTAAGAGCAGCTAATGGCATGCATAAGCTACTACCACTGTTTGGCACCATCATTCATTTTTCAGCATGGAGTGCTCTGCTCCAAAAACTACAAACACTGAGAAAAGTGAGATGTAAGGATATTTAAATACCCAACTAACACTGAAATATACAGAAATCTGGCAGAACGCTAGAAAGTACAAAATGACTGTGTCTTTACCTTTAGTCTTTGGACTTCCAGAAATAAACAGATAAGAATTTCATCAACATACTGAAAATGCGCCAGTCAACCTGCAAGTTATTGTTATTTAACATGACTTCCTTTGTTTCAAGCAAACATTAATTAAGAACTAAAAAAAAGTCTAGAAATGTTTCTAAAGGCACAGTGTTTCAGTGATCGTGTGTGCAGATAGTTCTCCCAGTTATCTCATCAAGGATAACCTTCTATGCTACTAATGACCACCAAATTTAATTAAGACGTTTTAAAATTTAGAAATACAAATTCAAAGACCTTCAGCTAGAGCATCTATTCCACCACTCCATGTAATCCTTAAAGCGTGTAACAAAATTCATCATGATCAATTACAATTCATTTAGCATAGCCTCCTACAACAGGGTTGTTGAGAACAGCTATGGCTTTTCCATGAATCTGTGAGATCCATTTTGTATGGTATTTAACTCTCTTTTCTTGAACTAATTTCCAACTTCAAAAAGTACCAATGCAATAATTTCAAGGTAAATGGCTGATAAAAGAAAAAAAGAAATGCCTGTTATGGAAAATCACAAAAGTTGTGGATGTCTTTCACTACTTTTTGCACTATCGATAGCTAATCAGCCTTTTGAAAGTATCATTTTTTTTTCCTTTTTTTTTTTTCAATCTAAATTTGATGTTACTGAATTTTGCCAAAAGAAAGTTAAGCAGTACAAGGACTGAAAGTAGATGCCTATCTCTACTCTCTGACATAGACAAAACGAAGCAAAACTCAGAAGCGTAACAGATCAAATCTTATGGTATCTCTTGACTCACATGGAGAAATACAAGAAAAAAATGTAGGCTTCCATTGAAAGTATAAATAAATCACACAACTGTTGGCTTAAATCGTATTAGAATGCAGAGCAAGTCAAACTTTACATCTGGTGCTCTTCCTCTACTTAAGAAATATTTCTTATTTGAGTGATCCCAACGAGATTAGCATTAATAAAGATATTAGAAGCTGGATCATGATGAAGGAATAGCAGATAATCAAAAAGTAATCCATTTCTATTTCAGCAGGCAAGCAGACTGGGAAGAATAGAATTCTTAGTAGTATTTAAGTTTTTACTTAAGGAAGTAAAAGTGTTGTTTCCTTGGGGACACTCCTACAGCAGACATACCAGAAAAAGGTGACCTTTACATTACTGCTAGCACTAATAATAAAAACTATTCATACACTCCCCAAAACTCAGTTACATACCCCACAGTGCACAGAGGTAGACAGGTAGGTTCCTACCCAGAAAGCTTACTCTCTAGGCTAAGACAGGACGTGTGGTTGCAATTGCAATTCAAGATTAAAAATAAAAAAACTGCATGAGCAGCTCTGCACAATGACTTAAAGGATTTCTCCCTTTAGTCCTATCTTTAAAGTCATATTATATGCAATGCCCTGATCACAGAAGTTTCCACATGTTGCGACAGAAGGGAGGTTTCAGGAGACTGCACAAAGCTGCAGAAAGAATATTCGGCCAATTGTTCCCTCAAGAAATCAAAAATGAATGGATAAAACTTTAAGACAGAAAGAATTTTTCTTTCTGGTTTTGGTAATGAGAGGCAAAGACAGATGTCCATCTACTCTCGCTGAGTGGAACAAGAAGTTTGTTTCCCAGTTCTTCTGAAACAGGAGGGAAAAAACTAAGTTCTCTGAGAAATAAGAAGGGTGCATGAATGAGTTCTATAAAACCAAGGCAAATAATATTGAAGTAGTTAACCCAATTACAGCGAAGACTTCCAGAAGCTGACAGGGAAGTGCTGACAACCAGCAATCTTGCTGAGCTATGAGCTTTCCTGGCATTAGCAAATGAGCATGAAAAACCCATTTCATGCTTGTCTTCTGGGTACAAATACGAAGATACCTTGCCCTCCCAGCAACCTCTTCTCAAACACCGGAGGAGAGCTGTCACATCTGACTGCTGCAAAAAGGCAGATGAACTTTCTTAAACATCCCCTTCATGTTTTGAGCAAAGCCTATAGCAGTGAAGCTCCCATTCCCAGCTGGAATGATTATCTACAAGGACTTTGTGGAGCACAGCTTTGCATCTAGGACTAGGATAGCGACGCTGCCATCCTAGGTAAAACCAAGAGACCTAACCACCTTGTCACTTTAGTGTTAATTTGGCAAAGTCACCAAATCTTGTAAGTGATATGAAATTTTCCCCATCAGGCTGCCGTTAAAGTCCACATAGCAGCAGGGGGTTGAGGTAGGTTTTGGTTCCAGAAAGGATTCTTACTGTAATGGATAATTCAATTTTCTTTACCTCCCCAGAGGGAATATGCACCAAAATACTCCAGTTATAGGTAAGATCTATGAGAATGAAGTAACAATAATAATTTATTAAACCAAATAGACTACCTTAAAAGTTTGAGTGACCTACTCCTGCAGTACACTTCTAAAGTAGGAAGAAATTGCGAGGATAGAACAAAGTGAGGATTATGGGTGATAGGTGAATATGTGAAGGTAAATTATTATAGTTGGTAGAGTTAAATCAGAAGCAGGTTATGTAGATACTAATTTTGGGGGGGCAGAGGGGCTTTGTGGGGTCTAATGAATCATCCTTTCTGAGTTTGTCTGTTAATGCTTACAGACAAAAACACAAACATTCACTCCCTTTACTTTGAAGTTATATAACACATCTGAAAATACCGTGCACTGTAGCATCACAGATCTGAGCACTTAAGCTATCACCAAATCCAGTTTCTACCAAGATGACCTGCGATAACTTACATGTAGATTTTTTGTTTCTTTTTTCATTTCTTCTAAAAGACCGGTTGGCACTTTTGCTTGCTGAACCCTATTTTGAACCTAGCACCCCCTAGAACTACTTAAACCCCTCTCATATATCTATACATTAGATAGGAGATAAGAGTCATGAGTCAGTGGAAAGGATTATAAAAAAAGGGAGTTTCCCCTTCCTGCACACCCTTTACTTAGGAGGAGCCATAGTAATCCAATAAAGGATTTTGCATTAAAGTGCTGAGATGTGAGTTACACATTGGCATCTACATAGAGGAACAAAGATTTCTAGGAAGGTCTGATCAGAAATGTTAGCATAATAGTGTGGCAGTTGTCACAGTAGCCACAGTAGACAGTAGTGTGACTGTTCTCTGTGAAAAGATGTTGTAAATCTAAAAACTAAAAACTAAATTGATTGCAGTTAATACAGTTTAATTATGATGATCCATGGCAATTGGATGTGGTGGCAACCTGTCCAAGGAACTGTTTTCTCTTGGAGAGCACTCCTGTCATTTTCTCAAAGAAGAGTCAAGTAATGCATCCACTAGCAAAACTACATATGAGATAACTATAAGATGAACAAAGAAGCGAAGTCAGAGCATTCAATTACATTTTTAACCCTTTTTCATATGTCTCTGATTTTTCTCAAGTAACAGCTTATATTTTGAAAACATACATGCTACCTGATCTCTCAACACATTTTTCACGTGCCGCTGTAATCGTCTGTCAAATACAAATTTGAAAAGTTTGCTTAAGACTGAAATATTTAAGGCAGGGAACAGGTCTAAGTGGGATGGTTTTGCTTTTAGAAGTTTGGAACAGGATCCTAAATACAGGGACTCAGGCATCATGCAGATGGCTGTAGCAAAGTCAACCTGAAGCCCAACTCAGCATTGCATGGAAATGGGGCACCTAGCTGATGGTAGAAACCCCACTTCTGATGCTGAAAGGCTGCATCCCACCTCCCTGTACTTTTTAGCTTTAAATTACTGACAAATGACAGTAACACCCTATTTGAAACTTTGCATTAAACAGGCGGAGTCTCACAGCAACTCGTCTAAACTGGTTCCTGACATCTTAGCATTCCTGACACAACGATAACTCTGTTGGCACCAGGCAGTGTAGCCACAGATGCTGCACGGTGGTGGGAGGGTGAGCGTCCTCTCAGAAGGTGGGCCCAGAGCTGTCCCACTTCCCAATGGCTGCTCCAAAAGGCTCCTACAATTGCTGCAATCAGCCACGGCGGACTCTAAGAACTCACCTGATCCTTGCCAAGGTAAATGGGATACACGGGAGCCAAGAGTATCTGAGGGACTCAAATCATGGTGGGCATGGGGTATTTTGTGAGCGGTGGAGCAGAGGAGGTGAAAGGAGGACACGCATGAATCTGCAGTGAGTCCGACAGGGACGAACTCTTGGCTCCTAACAGCAAATTACCAGCTCCCGGGGACTGTGGCGGGAGGATATGCAGGACTTATTGTAGGATCAGAGCCTGATACCAGAGTTTTCAAAGGATGAGCTGTCAACATCCACAGCATAGTAAGCATGCCCTTCTTACTTTTCTTCTTTTGTCCATGTTATATTCTGCACACCTTGTTAATATGCAGAGTGTAGAAAACAAGTTACAAAGTCAAACTCTACGTGTGTTATCTCACTGACTAATGGTACCTCAGTAATTCCTCATCTTTCCTTTAAAGATAAGTTACTGTGACTAAGATTACTCATAAAATACATGCCCTACTTTACCTGAAACATGGCTGGTTCCATGTACTCTGATGTTTATGTATCAGCTAGTGATTAAGTGATCAAGTACTGATAAGTGTACAAGGATGACAGTCTTGAAAACTCGTTTTGATCTTTGCTATTGGCATGTTTTGGAAATGCAGATATTGTGCCTCTGTTCTTTTAAAACACAATCACTGATTAGCACTTATGTGAGTAATTTTTCTTTTAAAGCCTAGGAGAAACTTTACTCTATTAAAAAATGTTGTAGCAAATCCCTTACAAAATTCATTCACTTGCACACGAGTTGCAGCTCTACAGATCAAAAAGCTTCTGTTTGTCAAGGTCAGGAGGGGAATCTTTAAGAGATGCTGAGAGGACATCTTCTATACTCAGTAGCTCCATGGCAAACAAAGAATCTCAAAGGTATTTTCTTGAAACATTGCTATCTTTAGGGAAATGTTTATTCTTTTGGTTCTAGTTCATTAAATGCCTGAATTGCTTCTGTGGTCACTATTACTTCTATTACTGGACCAAGGAAACTCCTAGGTGAATTCTGGATTTATTTTTAATTAACTTTGAATTATGTTGTTTTGGTTTTTTGCTTTAGGTGCTTACAGTATGGATCACTACTCTTTTTCTTCTTGATGCAGCCAAAGGTAAGACACATAGCTGATAAAGTCCATAAGCAGCAAAAACTGTTGTGCGCAGCTTACTCTGGAATAACTACATTTTAGAAAAAGAACATGTTTCGGAATGGATGTCATAGATTTCTTCATTAGCAGTAATGAATTCTGTCATGCCTTTTAAACCTATTTAACCTATCATTCTAATTCTTTAAAGGGTTCTGCAGCAAACAGAAAGGGAACTAGAAAGGTATTGTTATATAATAATGGATTCTAAAATTCTTCCAGAAGTGTTCCCTACCCATGCCGACCAACCAGGAGCATTTATGGCAACCACAACACTTTGCCAACCAAGGCACATACACTGCACAGCACCATGCAGACAACAAGAAAATAGTCCTGGTCTCAAACATCTTCTTACCAATAGGAAATTCCATTGGGATGGATGCACAGGGACAAAAAGGAAAAACAGTGAAATACAATCCAGAAGTTCCCTAGCATCAGAGGAAAAGAAAGTGACAGAATCTCTAGTGAAGTCCTAAATTACAGCTCTGTAGAGTTTCCTCCTCTGAAAGTATTTCCAATATATGGTGCCCTACCCTGCATTTTGTACCAAGTTACAAATAGTCACGGTCTGATGCATTCTGGTTCTGTCAGCTATGCACGGTGACAGTAGCTTCTCTTTGTCTTCATTGTCTTTTTAATAACCATAAAAATGACTTGCAGTTCCACAACTGCTGTGCTATCATGGTGGATGAGAATGGCATTTAATGGCAACACCCATTTGTCATATTTGTTATTTTATTAAAGCCATCACAGAAATTGGGAAACTCCTGCCATACAGGAACAGATGACACTTCCCTGGGCTGTGCTGTGCTCCAGGCTTGCACTTAGAATTGCACAGAATTGTAGAATAGACTCCTAGAATCATCAAGGTTGAAAAGGACCTTTAAGATCATCATGTCCAACCTTCCACCTACCACCAGTATTGCCCCCTATATTGCATCCCTCAATGCCACACGTACCCTTTTCTTGAAAGCCTCCAGAGGCTGTGACTCCACCACCACCCTGGGCAACCTGTTGCAGTGCATTATCACTCTATCAGAGAACAAGTTTTTCCTAATATCCAACCTGAACCTCCTCTGGCAAGACGTGAGGTAATTTCCTCTCCTCCTATTGACATCATCACTTCCACTGAATCCTTATGTTGATAAAATTTAAGAAAGGTGGTTTATATAAGTGGTAGAGCAACTAGTAGTGTGTTTTGCAAAAGAAGAAACAATTTACATGAACCCCGGAGCATTAGCACAAAATGAAGGACTACTCTGAGCTGGCAGCAGAGGCTGGTTTGTTCTCAGAACACAGAAAGGATCCAGGGCTTTTTTGTCTTTTTTTCTGGTGGCTGTTTTAATAATATACTAGACAAATTAATCATGCTTTCTCCTGAGCTCACCAAGCTGAGTTCTAGGCTGTTCATGATGCACAAGAACACAACAGAGCCCATAATGTAAATGAACACATGTGCCATGCTGATCTGAACCATCCATTTTCCATTTCCCTGCTATTAACACTGCCCTGTAAGCTTCTTGTCAATGGTCAAAGCTGGCCTGCTGCATTCCTAGAGCACTGACACTGTTCTTCATGTTCCTCAGGAAAGGAAGTGTGCTATGACAGGCTTGGGTGCTTTACTGACAATCCCCCTTGGTCTGGGATCCCAGGCAGAGAGCTAGCAGGTGTGCCCAGCTCTCCAGCAGCTGTGAACACTATTTTCCACCTTTACACTAGGAACAACATCTGGAACTCCCAAGTAAGAAACTCTTTCTTCTCTCCTACACCTTTAATCGTAGGTCTCCCAGCAGAGGCCCTGATCTGTATTCTACAATATGTACATGGCTCAAATCCAGTTACAGTTTAATCATTATAAATCTAGAAGCAGGCAAGGCAGTATAAAAGGAAAGCTCAGTTTTGGTCCCATGTCTCAGCTGAAAAATATATTGCAGGCCCACACACATCTTTTAACAATACATTGGTCTCAGAGACTCTGCTCATGTGAAGGTCAACACTGAGCCCTAAAAGCACATAGGGAAGATAACAGAAGATTGAAAGAGAAAGTAGAAGTATTTATCGGAGATGGAAAGGAATGGATGAAAAATGAATGCTGGATGAAAAATTAAAGGAAAGTTAGAAAGGAGAAGAGGAAACTAAAGGAAAAAAATCGAGAATGACCATCACTGCAAATTTGACTTGGGCAAAGCATAAGGATAAATGAAGTAATATAATATTAAAAAAAATGAAAAGAATCTGCTTTGCTCTGGTTGTCTTGAAGAAAACTTGACAGTTACTTTGTTTGCTTGTTCTATTTTTTTTTTATTTCATAAATGGCAGTCACACATAATAGAGGCGTTAATAACTCTCTGAGTCAGCTCAGAACAAGCACAACATCTCCAACTAAAGAGAGCCTGTGAAGTTTTAACTTGAATCAATCTTTTGCTGAAGGTCTATGTGTGCTAACTTGGTCACAACAATCTTTTTAAACTTGCCAAACTATAACAAAAAATAACTAAGTGCCAAGTTTCAAAACTACACGTTATTCAGAATTTTGTTGCTAACAAAAATAATGCCTTCGCTGCTGATAAAGCCCCAAGCCTGTGATGTATGCCTGATGGCCTTCCTCATGTTGTCTGGGTTATCATTAAGATATGAATAAGATGAGAGATGAAAGTCCTATGTAAGAAAAACAGGAAGGAAGATAAAAGTGCACAGAGTCAAAGTCAGCCTTGCAGAAGATTTCTATTTTTGTGACCAATTTTCATAAAATCTTATTATTTACACAACACATTGTGCCAATGTATCTCAAAGCACTGAGGAAAGGATGTCAGTATCATTAGTTCAATTAACTAGGAGTTAATGTTGTTGAAGCCATTAGCTAACATTCCCAAGCAAAGCAGTTTAGGGTCAGGAACAAGACCCATCTGTTCAGATTTGAGAACTAAGCCTGAACTACTGGGTTACTTTGCCCTGTATCAGTGTGCACTGGCAGAGAACATTCACACTGTTGATGTTTTGTTTGTTTGTTTTGACACAGAAAATTTCTGCTTCAAATCCCTCAACTATCAAAACTTCAAACTTTCGAGCATACAGGAAAACTCGCTTCATTATACACGGCCACCTTGCTGGAGCAGACCTGCCCTGGATAGCAAGCATGTGCAGAGTACGGTGCCATCATACTTGTATTGAAAGTGCAAAGATCCACACACACTCCCAATCAACTGCCTTATGATTCCCATCTAGAACTCACTTCTCTGTTTTCTTGTTAATTCTGGGAATGCACGAAGGGGAACCTTAGAAACAAGTTCAGCTTCACAAGACTGACCTGTTCCTACCTATGAGCACAGTGCACTTTAGCCTCTTGCAAAATGCCCTTTTGCTGCATTCACCCCTGTGGTGAAAACTGTAATTGATTGATTTTCAATTCCTTGACAATAATAACGGGGAAAAAGTCACTTTCTCACCTCAGCAAAAGTTCAAGCTAAACATTTCAGATTTAGTGAGGCATTTGATCTACCAAAACCAAAATGCTCTGTTCAGCAGATTGATTTGGTTTTATTTAGGCATACTTCAAAAATGAAATTGCTTCAGAATGAGCCATCAGAAAGTTCCCCTGCCTGAAGTGTCTAAATAGAATCGTTTGTTTGAGATGAATTTGTAGGCAGAACAGTTCAAGCACGTGAACTCAAATTTGTGAATCCCATTAGATGATCCAAATGTATACATTTTCAAGACTACAGCTTGGACAATAAAAAATAAATCATTCTTTCCTCTTTTTCTAACTGAGGCACTAAGATAAGCTGATCCCCTATAACTAATAACAGCAGCTGACATAGAAAACAACTGAAACTGCTGTGTGTCAAACCTGCAGCATTCAAATCTACCTCCATTCTGCCTCCTTGTGTTGATTCTGTAGCAGTTATGGGGAAAAGGTGCATATTTACCAGTCACACAAACACAGCAGGTGCATATGGCATCATTTTGCAGTACAACTTTCTGAATAAGAGCGTAAGATTTGAGTAAGAATAAGATTTGTGTTTCTAGGACATTATTAGAAAAACACACTGCTAAATAGAATCCCCTAAGAGCAGTATAATTTTCTTTTCTTTCAAAATTAATCACCAGACAATTCCTTAGGATAAACCTGTACTCACCTGTGCCTATCCTCAATAGGAGTTTGAATCAATGATCTTTATGGGTTCCTCTGAACTCAGGATAGTCTGTGATTCAATTTATCCTCACTGCTCACCAGTGGGGTTCAGACCCACTGACAAGAGCAATCACTGCTCTCTGCCCGCAGGTTGGAGCCCACTGATGCTTCACAGGCTTCTGTAAAAGCAGCACTCACGACAGGAGCAGTATGCCAGTTCTGCTAGAGTGAGATGCAAAAATCAGAACTCACAGAACTGAAGGGAGATCCCCACATAGAGTAAAACTAATTTTGATTTGTGTCTAACCTGGAAGTGTTGTACTTCACGATTGTTTCCTTCTGTTTCTATCCCTGACAGTTCATGCTTTATGTTGAAGATGTGAACTGCATTCTGACTGACTGGAGAGGTGGTTCCAGTGGTTTGTACACGGATGCAGTCAACAATGTCCGCATTGTGGGGGCTGAGCTGGTCTATCTTGTGAACTTGCTTGAGGTACAAGTGGAACATGAATGCCAGTGGATCGGTGTCATCTTTAGATTTGATACAACACAGTCAGAAAGTACAGAACGCAGTACTACAGCTGAAAATGTTACAAACGGTCTCTAATCCTGCACAAACTGAAATGCTCCTCAGGATCTGGGTGGTGGAGAACCCGGATAGCACAAAGCCCACTGTATTCACCCAGAGGGCATGGCATAGAATCACAGAATCACAGAATCACAGAATTGTAGGGGTTGGAAGGGACCTCCTGAGATCATCAAGTCCAACCCCCCTGCCAAAGCAGGTTCCCTACACCAGGTAGCACAGGTAGGCATCCAGGCAGGTCTTGAACATCTCCAGAGAAGGAGACTCCACCACCTCCCTGGGCAGCCTGTTCCAGTGAAAAAGGTGCTGAAAACCATAGAACACTGTAGTCACTGAACAGACAGGTTCAGGGCTGGATATGAAGAGTCAGAGGAGTCATTCACCTTTTGGATAGGCGTAATGCTACTTGTGAGAGCAATGTTCAGGACAAGGGAGAATGGCTTTAAACTAAAAGAGGGGAGATTTAGGTTAGATGATAGGAAGACATTCTTTACTCAGAGGGTGATGAGGCACTGGCAGTTCTGTTCAGAAAAGCTGTGGATGCCTCATCCCTGGAGGCATTCACGGCCAGTTTGGGTGAGGCCCTGGGCAGCTGATATTGTGGGGGGCAACCCTGCCTATGGCAGCGGGTTGAAATTAGATTGGTTATAAGGTTCTTCCAACTCAAGTCATTCTGTGATTTACCAAATTCCCTTTTCCTCATTTCTATCTAAAATGCCCAATCCTAGTGGAGGTTACTGTCTTCAGAGAGTGAGTTGGGAACAACTTCTCTTCCACACCTTGGTACAAATCCACTTCCCACAGCAGAAACTTCCCACCTACAGCACTCTCCTTCATCACCTGCCCTTCCCAGTGCATACAGATCACATTCTGGTCACGAGGGCACGCTGCAATGCCTTTGGGTTGCATCTCCCATTTAGTACCCTAGTTTTCTTTATTTTCCTTTCATCTTCACAGAAAGACTATGGATACTCTCCTGCCAACATTCATTTCATTGGCCACAGTCTTGGAGCACATGCTGCAGGGGAGGCAGGGAGACGAAAACCTGGCATTGGAAGAATAACAGGTACTGAAGCTATTTCAACCGTAGAAGATTTATATTTTAATTCTGCTTAAAAAAGAACCAAAGAGTCACTGCTACCTAACAAATATGTTACAGACACTGTGCTGCTTTCCTGTAACTGTACAGCCAGCACGACATCACTCAAAGGAAGCCATTGCACATCCTATCCCATGCCACTCATTTCATGTCACCTGTCACAGCCCTGAGAAAGGCTGAACTGCAACAGGAAGGTAAATCTCTCCCTATTGGAGCTAAATATATGTTACTTTGCACAGGTCCCCAGAGCACACTGCATATAGTCTTTAGCAATACCAAAGAGCAGGAAGAAGATACCCTACAACATGTGAAATAACAGACTTGTGTAACATTAGCAACTCTTTATCATGTTTGGATCCAGGAGTCCACTCCAACATAGTATTTCAGTAGGTAAGATTGAAAATCTGAAATGAAACTTTAAACCCCCTGCATTCACTATACATCACTATGTATGTCTATGTATTCACTGTATGCCACTGTGTCATTATTGCAAATAACAATAGCTTTTTGACCAAATAAAAGTTCTCAGACAAATCTGCAAGCTTAGAGTAACATATCAAAATTTAACATCTTTCAGTGATGTGCAAGAAAACACCAAGCAAACAAAACAGACTTATAGCCACCACATCTTGTGACATTATTCCCCTATAGTAAGCCAACCATCCATCCAATTTTTACTGCACCGCAATGCCTCTAGACACCATTCTATTAAAACCTGGCTTGTTATTTTTCTGGCTGTCACACATACACATCAACACAAAATAGATTTTTACCTGAGGAGTTAAGAAGGAAATGCAATGACACATTTAGAAAATAAGTAAAGTTATTATTTACGTTATTATTCCCATCTCCTTTCATTTAGGTTTGGATCCAGCTGGACCTCTTTTCCAGTACACTCCCCCAGTGGTTAGGCTGGATCCTTCAGATGCAAAATTTGTTGATATAATTCACACTCATGCTGGTCATCTCTTCTTTGACTTTGGTAAGTTTTTACATAAAGGTCAATGCATACTCAGAGGCAGACTACAGCATATCATAACGTAATCAGTCTCCACTGATTCTGGATGTCCCATCCCTGGAGGTGCTCGAGGCCATGCTGAATGGGGCTCCGGGCAGCTGATCTGATGGGAGGCTACCAGTCCCTTCCAACCTATGCCATTCCATCATTGTATGATTCTACATATTCCAGCTCCTGGGATTCTTCAGACTTGTGGCCACCTGGATTTTTACCCAAATGGTGGGAAGAAAATGCCAGGATGCAGGCAGCTTCGTGTACCTCCAGCAGTTCGGAACATCAACGACCTTATGAGAAGTATGTACGTTGTAAAGAAGTAATGCCTCATTAGAACTGCGTCTTGAAAGGCTGAGCCAAGGCAGAGCCTTTTGAATGCATCTATTAATTAAATATCTTAGATTCGGATAATCCAAAAATGACTGCTTTCATCCCAGTATTACTGCCATCAGACATATCATTAGCAGCTTTAGTGTATCCAAAGGGAACAGCACAAGCTTGAAAACATTGATGATGATCAGATGACTACTGAACTGATAGCTGATGCTCTCCAAAGAAAGCGGGGCAGTTACTAACAGTTATTCTGGGATAAAGCAAAATAGATGTCCCAAATCCTGTCTTCTAACCCTAGCTTATAGAAATAAGAATACCTGTTATTCATAGCTACATGTTTTGAAATCTCAACCACTAGTAGGTAGCTGGCTCTCAAAAATGCTTGGTATCAACTGGTTTGAAAAGTTAGGAACCAAGACGGAAAGCTGCTATGCACAGAATTAATTGGAGGCAAAACACCTTCAAAAGTGACAACACAAAAACATCCAATTTTTCAGCAAAAATTAAGTATTTCACTATGCTTCCTTCCACGTTTTGTCATAAAAATCAAACCCAGCTCTACTGAACACAAGCAGATGGAGTGGGTTGTTCATGCAGCTCCTAAAAATAGAGATAGTGTTAACTCCTGCCTCTCATATTAACCTTGCTTTGTGCATATCTCTTCTGTTTGATAATATTTACATGTACGCAGTGCTTTTATGTAAAAAAGTGCTTTAGAAATGCTATTTACTAAGTTCTTTCTACAGCTTTTGATGCGAGAAGGAGAGAGGTATTGTGTTTCCTTTGTGTAGATGTTAAGTGAATCTGGCACTAGCACAAAGTAAGCTTACCATAAGGGCTGAGATTTTTAAATTTAAAGCACAGACTCTTTTGAATTGGTTTGAAAGAAGGAACTATAAAGAAAACATATTCTGGAAATTCAGGACACCTTGATGATCCAGGTTGTTTGTGAGAAACACAGATGAAAATACGTTTCTGTTTGTTTGTTCTTTCCCTCTGTGTAAAGAACAAAGGGTTGACCAGTTGATACCTGGTCAACATCAACCAGCATGTCTTTAAGATGCATAAATATTGATGAGCAACTATAGGTGAAATTTTGATTTCACTAGAAACTGTGCCTCCTTGCAATTACTTCAGTGCCTCCACGACATCACCCTATAATTGAGCAAAGTCCCCCCACACTGCAGCAGAGTGGAGCCTATTTTTATAGCTTGCCATTGGTATATTGTGCTTCTATAAAGGAGAGGCTTCAGACTAATAAAGACAGTACTTATAACAAGGAATACAAATTACACTTTCTTCTGCTCTGCATTAGCAGCTCACAAATTTCTCTCAGAGGGCAAAATGCACTTATTTCAAATAAATCTGACAAAATCGAGGACACGCTGCCAAGCATCTTGCTTTTCTGAGCATTTCACAGAATCACCAATGTCAAATGACCGCACATTTTTCAGAGCTTAAAAACACTGAAAGCCACTGAAGTTAAAATAATTACTATAATTATCTTTAATTCTAGAAGTGAGTGGAAACTGTGGTTTTACAAATTACCACGTTGTGATAATGGTAAGCAAATGAAAACTACTTCATAGTAACTACTACATGTTTTGCAAATGCTGCAACTATGAATTATTCCAGTCTTTGAAATATGAAAGGGAAATTCTGCTAAATTCTCCTCTGTTCTCATGTAAAGTTCAGGCAGTCAAGTGTGTGCACTGCAGGACTGGGGGCTGTGAGAGGGCTGTCAGGTGCATCTCCACCTCCATGGGCTTTCACCTGGCACACACATGGACAGCACCTTGCTTTTCTCTATCGGAAAGACAGATGTAGACACAAGAGTGCTTTGTGCCATAAAGACCCACATATGCGGTTCTGGCCTGGATTTTATGGTAGATACGCACCTTTAATCTTATCTACACGGGGTTTTTCCCAGCATATAGATCTCTTGGATGTGGACATAAAAGAAGCCTCCAGTATTATGCTGAAAGTATTATCACTCCAAATGGATTTGTTGGCTACCAGTGTGAAACGTACCGAGCTTTTATATCGGTGAGTATCAGGTATGTGTTCATGAAGGAGGTAGGGTTACAGCCCTGCTCTTCTTTCCCTAGTAATTTCTGAGATGGCTTCTGGACTCCAGGTGATATAATCAAGGCTGGCTCTGCAGGCCTACTGACTGCCCTCATCCTCACAGCCAAAAAATGGGAAAAATATAAAAGCAGCAAACCCCAGAACAGATCCAGAAGAAAATGAAGACAATAAATGTGCACACTCTAAGCAGTTACAAAAACAAGATGAAGATATAAGAAGGCTAGCAAGGATTGGATTCAGCTGTGTAGGTTTACAGCGAGGGGCCTGGGCTTGCTGAAGGCAGCCCGCTTAAACCAGTGCTATGCAAATCTGCTGAAACCCATCATCAAGAGGATAGGTACTGGATTTTGTCAATGGCTAAACATCTGTAAACAATAGTAAATACCCACAGCATTTAGAGCAGAGGAGAGAAATATTTATACAGCACAGCAGTGCCACACACAAAACAGCCCCAAATGATGCACAGTGGAATTAGTTACCACCAGATGTCCCCACATAGCAGCAATCCCAAAGCCAGTTCTTCCAGTCCTACTGTTCAGCATGACACCATATAGAATGGATATGTTATGTTATGGGACTTCTTTCTGGTCATTCCTGGCTGTGCTCCCCTCAACTCCCTGTGCACCCTCAAACCCTTGCTGGCAGGGCAGCACGAGAAGCTGAAACATCCATGGTTCTGTATAAGCACTGCTCAGCAGCAACGCCAACGTCAGTGCTACCAACATTATTCTCATCCTAGATCCAAAACACAGAACCATACCAGCTACTAGGAAGAAAATTAACTCTATCCCAGATAAACCCAGGACATTCTGAGAAGTTGCCGTTACTTGTAGAGATTTTGTCTCATAACTTGGAAGTCTGATGTAACTCGGGTCTTGAATAAAAAATTGCACAGAACCCTGTGCAATTTAGCAATGAGAGGGAAATGATTTTGCCAACTGAAGAATAGACAACAGATGATGCTCTATCTAGTGCTCAAATACCCAAGGATCCACACATCCAACTTCTTAAAGAACCTCCAAGTAACTGAATATCACAAAGATTTTTTTTTCAGCTGAAATTGAATACATGCTTACCCTCATCTCAATGTTCAACTCACATAGTCTGATTGATTTTACAGAAAAAAAAAAAAAGCAGACAGAGCAAATAAAATGCAGCCCCAATCTTCGGTGTTCATGTGCTTAAATATCATTGCCATTTGAATGAGACACTCAGCTGGAGCCTCCTTGCCAGTGTGATACCCACCCCACAATTATGAGGCCACCTCAGTGGACCCTACGGTAGATAAAAATGTTCCCTGTGTCATAGATCAGGCAGTAAGATACTGCATACAGTAAGGCCTTTATTCATGATCTCTGCAGAAACATAATCAGGCCAGATTTGCAACTCATTTTTTTCAGGGTTTTTTTTTTTTTTTTTTTTTTTTTTTTGCGTGATGAAGCAAGGAGGCTGACCACCTCAACTCCTTTCTCCACTACTCTGATAAATACTGAACATATATTAAGAACTCAGAAAAAAAAACCACCTTTTCAAATAAACTGGGGGAAAAAAAGACTGAAACACCCTGTTTTATTGTACTTTAAGCTTTGGAATTAAAATGGATAACATCTTGTAACAGACACTTGTTTTTCTCCAGGGAGCCTGCTTCCCATGCCGGAAGGGAGGATGCCCACTGATGGGACATTATGCTGATGTGTTTTCTCACAAAACTGAAAAGGAACAGCAAAAGGTTTATTTAAACACAGGACCCCACCCTCCATTTGCTCGTAAGTGCTGGAGTTTGGGTGATGAATTAGGAGTGGCAAGGAAGTCTACAGTAAGAAACACATTTCTACAGAAATCCAATGGAGAAAGAGATGCTCAGAACAATATCTGGAGTTTTATATATGTTAGGAATATGGAATAACAGCTCTGTTTGGAGAAGGGCGAGATAATTATGAAATTGATGCCTGTGGCTTAGAAACCCTGCCAAATTTTGTTAACTAAACAGTGGATTCAAAAGCTCTGTACAGCTGGAGGTGGAGGAATGTTGTGCTGAAAGCGCAAAATTTCAAAGCAAAAAACTTGTGTTGTTGTCATGGACAAAACCTTATAAACAAGATAATTTCAGGGCATTTTTGCAAAGCTCATCAAGTCATTATGACAAGGGGTAATAAGGAAGTGTAATTTTAATTGTGATTAATTTGAAAGAGCTGGGAAATAAGGAAATTTGTAAATAAGATGTAATCCATCCCAGATGATGAACTCCGAGAGTGACACATGAGTCTTTGAGAACATCATTCAGTAGGCACTAGAATACAAAAGCAAAACTAAGTACAAAAAAAAAATCTTATGTCTCATCTTGAGAAAAGCAAAAAGAGAAAAAAATGAATATGAGCACAGAGAAAGTAGGCATTCCTTAAATCTGAATGAATACACTGATGTCATCACCTGCACTGTTGGGCTTATATAAAGCACGGCCCGAAGTGGGTGAAGAGATTCTCCTTTACTGGTGCACGCTAAAGCTGGTAGAAGAACTTCCAAATGTGGTTACTTGGAATCAATGTGCACTACTGTATGTGAGGCTATGCTTCTGCCTTGGGATGACACGGATGTTACAGGATCTTCTGAGGTTAAGATGATTTAAGAAAATATATAATTCTTCCTATTTCAGAGCTATAGCACCACCTGTGAGACCCCCCCCCCCCCCCAAATTCTCCAAAGTGCAAGAAATTACAAATTGAAAAGAGAGGCAGCATGGAGGGTAGCCCAAAGCAAATTACTTAGCAAGGCCAGGAGGCCAGTAAAGGTTAGAACTGTAGTTTACACCACTGTCGAGGAAATTACTATCACCAGAATCACATAGAACTGACATTTGCCTTAATAAAGACAGAGGTATTTGTCAAGCACATCTGTGCAAACCTCTCCTCTCCTTGAAAAACACTGAAACATATGAGAGAAAGAAGCCCCTTCACAACCACCATCTACTTCCTTTTGTTTTCAAAGGCTGGCGAAAAGAGATACGTGTCAGACTATCTGCAACAGAAACCATGAAGGGAAATATAGATGTAGCCTTGACTGGAACTAATGGGATCAGGAGGAAATACACAATTGACAAGTAGGTGCAACATGACTGGGGGAAAACTTGCTATTATACAGAGTTTATAATATATCTTTTTAGGTCTCATCTTGTGCTAGGTGATCTGTGACCTACGCTGGTAATGAAAGAGCTAATCAGCGGTCAAAGGTCTCCATGTTACAGATTGTGGTCAAAACGTGCTTGCTGCTCTCTCTCTCTCTTTCTGTGTGTTTTCTTTTCTTTCTAGACGAAGGTTAGCACAGCAAGGAGGGTGAGAGCAGAGTTCTGTGGCCCAAGGGGAGGCTACTGCCGGTCTCAGACGTGTCTTCACAAATCAAAAATGGCAAAGCTGAACGATGTACAATCATGTGACCATTGCATGTTAGCAGTCAGAAAGGCACAGGAATTGAAACAACTGACTCATTTGCATGCTTCATTGTTGTGCTTTTCTTTTGGCAGGGGAACTTTCAAGCCAGGCAACACATACTTGAACTATATTGATACAGACATTTCTGGGAACATTTCAAAAGTTGAGTTTCGCTGGAGTAAGCATCTAGGTCATGTACACCAAGGCTGTATGGGAGCAGAAGAAGTCATAATAATATCTGGGGGAGATGGAAACGTGTGAGTATACAGCCTAATTGTGTTTTGTTCTGTGGCTCTGGGGAGGAAAAAAAAAGAAATAGAAAAAGTCCTATTGTGCTGACAACCATTTCCTCACATTTTTCTCCCATTGCCAGGTCTGCGTTCTGTGGCCATGGATCCGTGCAGCCGAGCACATGGCAGACCCTGATGCTTTGCTAGGGCTGGGGGAGAAACGCCACGGCTCTGGCTACGGAAAACCATATTGCTTCAGCCAGACTATTGGTGAAGCTCCTGCAACACAGATGGAAAATTTACACTGCCCAATACAAAATCTCTATTTCAAAATCAGTGCTGTCTGCTTGTATCCAAACAGGGGAGCTACACCAGCCTTCCTCCCTGAAGAACAGCATTTTAGCAACACATCCAAAAGACTGCTTAGGAGCTGGGACTGTGTACGAAGTTGCACAGTACATCCTGAGAAACTCGAGCATCACAGATTGCCACCTGTCAAGTAGGACAGCTGAACGCACATTCAAAAAAAAACATTTGATGGTTGCCATTTTCAATCACCTGCTCTACTGAGCTCTGCTGAACACTGGATGAGCTGAAGCTCTTTCTTTGTACCTGGAATGGGTACCTTCTTTATGTACTACTAATAATGTACTATTGAGGATACTAAATTTTCTGGCAGCCTTCAAAGTAACAGGTTTCTTTTTACCAATGAAGCTGAATTTTCCAGCTGTACTTCGCCCTTCAAAAGGGCAACGACCTTTAAGACCTCCCATGGTTTTAGGGAAATTACATTAGAAAAATATTTAGGATCATAGTTATTCTCCCTGTGTAGGGAACATACCATATTCTTTTCTGAGATACAAAACTTCCCCACGTTGGAATTCTGATGATGCTGAAGTTAAGCCTGAGCTGCAGTGTTTGCATTACTATAACACTGCCCTCCCAAACTTGAGAACATTTTTATTATATTATCTAACAAATCAGACTACCAAGACTATATTTTGTTTAATATAAGCTTCCCACAAAATTCCTTTTGGATTTTGTTACCCTCTGTGATTTAGGAAATACAGCTAATTGTTAAACTTCGTAATAGGTTTGTCATTTGGGCACAGAAATCCTATGTGAGAATCATGTTGGGCAACACTGCTCTGTCCCATCCCAACAACTGGCTATTCCAGAATAGTTCCACTGAGGTTCACCAGGAGGTGTTAACGACTTGAGTTACACAAGGCTAAACATGAGTGATAAACAGGTGTGCTTTAAATTAAGCAGCAATAATTCTGAGATAACAGACTCCAGTCACCTCTTCTGAGACTCGCTTAGGAGGTTTGTGGCAAAGTTCACAAATATCTGCCCACCTTCTCAGGTTCCCTGCCTCGGTACACTCACCATTTCCACCCATAAGGTGAATAGGATCCAGAATGATCCATGAAGCGAGCTCATTCCCCTCCTCCCGTTAGGCAAACTACCCAGGCAAAATCCCCTTCTGCTCTGTGTGGGGACTCTCCTCCTTTGCACTTCCCTGGAGAAGTACAAAACAACCCTGCAGGTACTTGTGCATAGCTGGGAAATAGCTGTTATCAATAATTACACCATCTTGGGCATCTGTCATAAATCAGGCATGGCTCTCTGCCCAAGTTTCACAAACAAAGCAGATGGAGGGAGCGGGAAAGGAATATTTATTCTCACTTTCTTACACTCAGGACCTTAAGCAAACAAAATGTAAATATTTTTCCTGAGGTCACAAAAAGTGTGTGCAGCAGGGCCAGGAGCCGTGCAGAATCACCTTGTTTAATGAAGGCCATGGCCTCTAACAAGAAGGAGATAACATCCTGTTGAATTCAGGAGTTTTTGAAAGACAAGCCTTTCCTCTTCTCTCTATAATCGGCTGTGCCTTCATAGCAGTTCTAAACATTAATTAGATGTTGTTATGAATAATAAAACAGATTCTTCCTTTTAAAAAATACAACCTTTCATTTTGTTTAATTTTAGCTGTTGATTTCAGCAGCTTTCTGATGAAACATAGCAACTCATATATCACTTAAAAATAAGCATTTTCTCACCCAATCAGTGGAGCTAAAAATAAAACACAATACTTTCCCCTCCTTGTCTTATGCCACTTTGTATTCATATTATAAACTCTATCTTGAGTTAATTTTCACTCTTTGGTATAGTAAACAGCAGCACTGCACATTTTTCCTGACACATCTATAAGCAGAGAAGAAAGGCTTTTTTTTATGAGGTAAAGATGAAAAACAGCTGGTTTAGTTTAGCATCTAGTATTCCTTTCCTCAATTTCTTTTTGTAATTAAAAATGAAAATTGTTGCTTTGTACAGAAAATTACTTTGTACTGTTGGAGCTGGCCAACATAATGCAAGGGCTTGATATTTCACAAAACGCCTATAAAAACAACTGGGAGAGGTGATCGTTTCAGATCTTCATAACAAAGTAAGCCAACTTTTTATCACAAATTAAATTGCATCTTTAAAATGTCAAGTGAGATGTGCAGGTTGAAATGTTTGACTGTCAATCTGAAAGGTGGTCTTTTTTAATCAAATGCACTTTGTTTGTCTAGGGCTTTTAAGGACGTCTGATGATAACCATCCAGTCTTATAAGTTATTTAAATATTCTGTAAAACTGAGTGATTCAGAATTACAATAGAAATTTCATCTAATTCTCTTTAAGTATTTGTTCACTACAAAAACTATACCAGAGGTAAACTACTCACAAAGCCACTGGAAAGTACTCAGCCTTGGTCCATCTTTTGTCACAGGAATAACACCAAAGAAACAAAATCCAACAAACCTCTTAGATCTTTTACAGAAGAAAGGAACAGCAATGTATGCAGTCCATAGTACTAACTCTCAGTTCTGCTTATAGCATATGCATTTGCCTTATAATTAACATGAGAAAAAAAATAATTTTAGAAGGAACTATACTTCTCAAAAAGTGATGAAAACAAGAGCAGTTTGTATCAGAGGAATACAGTAAAATCATAGAATTAGGCTGGTAAAGACCTTTAAGATCAAGTCCAAACACATCTAATGCTACAAAACCACCACTAATCCATGCCCCCAAGCACCATGTGTGGATACACATCTCTTATACATCTCTAGAGATGGGGACTCCACCAACTCCCTGGGCAGTCCATTCCAATGGCTAACCACACTTCCTGTGAAGAAATTCTTCCTGATAACCAATCTAAACCTTCCCTGGTGCAACTTGAGCTTGCCTTGTGTCCTCTATTTCAAGCATAGCATAATTCCTCTTTCCAAAAAGTTGAGTTTATCCAAAAGTCCCCCATAAATACATAGGTTACTACAAAAGTATATATATATATCCTGAAGTATTATATATCCTATATATTTCCATGGAAGAAACAGATACAAAGAACACAATCACACTATTTGACAGAGAAAATTCTCAGCTACAAAACACTATTTTTCAGAACAGCTACCACCATTAGCTCTTGCACCCTGGTACATCTGTCTTTTCAGATAGCATTTCTGAAGGTCTGTCACCTCATTCTCTTCTCTTGCAACTCCTCATGAACATTTTTATAGTGAACTTATTTATCCTCACTCCCACCCTACACTTCCCTCAGTGATAATTACTGAATACTTTTTCTCCTACAATACGCTCCAACTTCAACTTCCAAAGACGTGCTTGTTATACAGACGGTAAAATAAAATCTTTGGAGCAGGATTTTGCTGAGATCTTCTGTGCAACCCGTGGTTCTAGTGGGGACATTTGACATTGTTCTGGAACCAAAGCACAAATCCTAAAATGGGCATTCCCAACACTTATTTCAGTTATCCTTCCAAAACCAAAGCTGGCTGGGATTGAAATTGCCATTGGGAGCCTAAACAAGTGTTCACTGACCCATTGCCAAGTTTGACTACACAGACTGTAGACAGACTTCTTCCTTTGTATTAACACAGTATCAAGGGCTTGACAATTTCAAATGGGCTCCAGGCTGCTTCAAGTTATGCTCATTCTAATCATTAAGGAGCAGATGTTGATAGCACGCCCATATCTACCTTTGACAGCTTTTATCCATGGTAAAACAGAGCCAGGAATATGCCATTTATCTTTCAGTATCAAGGAGCTAAAATATTCCAGAAGGAGCATGCATCATTGCCAACTCTGTCAGGAACAGAGCACACCTACATTGCTGTGTTACCGGAAACCATACCTCTCCTCCCAGCTGCCACAAGATTGGATGGGGCAAGCACCTTGCAACACCAGAAACATAAGCAATGTCTCAAAATACAGGTTGGCATTGGTGTCAGTCCTCTTTCATCCCATACATTTTTGTCACTAGGGAATCTCGGGGTATAACATGCAGAGTCCAAGACAAAACCTAAAGCCATTCTTTTTGTTTCTGCTGCTTCCATCAAATAATTTAAATGTTTCAGTGTTAATAGGAAATCAAGCATTCAAAAGAATGACTTCACTCTTTTCTCTTTCAGTTCTGTCCATTAGACGGAAAGAAAGGCTCTCTTTCCCTACTGATTTTCCCCCTCTCCTTGGTTACTTCCATCACCATCTCTACAATTCTCCCCAGTTGCTATTTTCTTAACAAGATACTATGGTCCATAACTCTTCATCTAACAAACACAGAAGTTAACGTTCTCTCTGCTTGCTTTGAGTGATTCCGTGACGAGAGAGCATGTACTATGGAAGGTCATAAATATTTATCATCTCCAAAATATTCCTTTTATTGCTGCTGTGGACCACTGAAGGGGATGAACTAAGGGAAATTGGTTTTGCAGCTATTCAACATAAAGTTTGTTCACTTGATCAGAATGAGCACATCAGAGTTTAACAATAGAAATATCAAGAAATTCTTTTATTCATGGCTCTCCCACTCAGAAACTGAAGGTAAGATTCTCCAAGACGAGTGTTTTTTGTCTATGCATATTAGCAATTCCCTAGGGTTTGCAGTAACAGAGTACTTCCAGGTGACCTCCTTTCAAGCTGAGAAATTCATTAACCAGCTTCAATCTAAAATTGAAATAAGAGAGAAAAACGTTGCTTTTAGAATTTTATTCACTTATCTTGTTATGAAAGCCTTGGTAATTTATACATCACTGCACTTGAAGCGCAGATGCTGAGTTTCCTTTGGAAAACGTGATTTTCTGAGTGTTTTGATTCCTACTAATGTGAAGGCCACTACTATCAGAATAAATGTCCTTGATAATTTTCAGGCTGACATTTATAAAACCATCTGGATGCATTCACTTACATGTTGTCAGAAGCACCTGCAGAAGCCAGAATTTTCTTACCATCCATAAAAATCTGCTATTCCTCTAAAGTCATAAAAATAGACCAAGAAAAACTGGCCATTCCTAAAACATGATTGATCTACAAAATGCTGTAACATGGGCTATAAATTCTTCTGGTATTAACTCCAGCTTGTCATTCTGGGTACATTAATTTAACCTGTTCCACTGCACATGCCCTCTGAAATTCACTGAGAGTGAGACCATGTGGAAAAC